AACTTCAGGCAAAGATAAAGTAGAATGAAGGGATGCCGCTGAAAGAAGCAAAGACTCCTTATTTCCTCTCATTTGTTGACATTTTCTACCCTGACAAGACTGTAACTGTCCTATGCATTGTTTTTATCCTTCTTTGAAAAAGAAAAAAAACAAAGAGACTCCCCATGTACCATCTTTGTTGATGTCTCTTTCACAAGTAATTTTACTTGTTACATCAAATTAACAGGAGAAAGGGAAAAAAAAAGAAGAACGAACCTTAAAACAAGGCATTTCTAATATTTTGTGAAAAAGCTCTCCAACACTTCCTCATACAAAGGAAGCACATTGGTACAATTAGAAGTCTAGAATGAATGTGTTATCAGGACACAAAGTACGTCACAATACCGTAATAAGGAATTGTACTTTGGTACAAGTACAACGTAACCGTGTGGTCGCATTATTCACACCACTCTTCTACTTAAACCATTTAACATATTTTCTTGTTTGCTTTGGTATAAAGCACAGAAATTTCAAAAGTAACTGTAGAACTAATAGTTTAGACACTAAGGAAAAACATACTGCATTATAAAATGCACGATTCATTTGTCCACTACTCTGCGTTATGCCTTACCGTATACAGAACAGTTACTGTATCGTACCACTCAACACTCCCAATCCATACTGTAAATCACACACTACATCTCAAGAGCTCAAATAATTTCTCTTTTGGGACAGTGAACTGCTTTGAAGAATTCTGTACTGCATATAATCTGTTTTCCAGAGCTAAAAAAGGGAAGTATTCAAAGACACGAAATATTTTAGAAAGAAATGGTACGCAGACATATTTTCTTGAATGGCTTGGTGGCATAGTATTTCAAATATATTTTGTTTTTCTTTTTTTTCTTCCCAATTTCACTTTCATTTGTTATTGATATTTGCTGTACCCGAGTCGAACAGAACTTGAAGTCCAGAAGAGAATCACAAAGCGTGATTTGGAAATTCAGAAATTCCAAGCCATTTGTGCTTAAACGTATTCCTCTCTGATGCATCAATTGCATCTGAAGAAACAGTCCAGACACCTTTCAAAAACAAACCCAAAACCAAACCAACAAAACCAAGCAGTTTAATCTCCAGTGAAAAAGATGGACATTCTCTGCCGAGGTGCTCATAAATCTCAAAGCATTCTAACTGGTTGTTGAACTTAAAAGTGTAGGCCAACGGAATATGATAAAATTATGTCAAAGTGCTATAGTCTCTGTTTAGAGATGAAATTTTTGTATTCTACTGGTTGGGTGGGCAACCCCCTCCCTTGCCAGTAGCTCAGACAGCTGATGAAAGGTGGTTTTGAACTCCAAATAAGGACTCTAGGCTTGGTTGCGATTCTGACAATAACAATTTCCTCATTGCTAATTATTGTCAGTATGCTGACAACCCATACAGCTCACACTATTTGGAAGCAGTTTCAACTTCTGTGAAGGTTTCTGAAGATCACAGCTCATGTTTACCCAACTATTCTTCATATACATACGAAAATCCCTCAAATTTTGAAAAAAGCTTTCCTACAATAAACATATCCAACTTTTCAAGCTCTTCACTTTCAATGAATATCTTCTCTTTTCCACAAGGAAAATTGTCCAATGCTTGAATTTCAGATTCACTGACACACACACACAAAACCCACCAAAAAACTCTGGTCTCTTCAAACATTTGTATGTTCAACTTATTTTATTTTACTTTTAATTATTTTAGAGATTCTAGGATTTGACAACAACTTTTTCTTTTTACTTGTTGTCATTCATCATGGATTTTGCCCTCCACAGGGAATTTTGAGTACTGTGAGAAAAACTGTTAATTGAAATGACCTCAATTTAAATATCTGAGAAAAGTGCAAGCTTGTGTAGACTATACAATTGATGATTACACAATAACAAACATTAATTTTTATTAGGGACACTACATATGTGTATTATATTAATACGTACTTAAAATAATATATGGAAGTGAAATAGTGTAACAAATTCAGTGCAATGACCACACTGAGCAGTCAACAGAATTACACTGTTGCTCTCTCTTCTTAACTTTGTATTACTACACCACCTACTGCCATTAATATTTTTCAATTTATCTTGGTATAGTTCACATAACTTTGGATAAATAATTTTTATGTTTTGCCCTGAATAATTTCCCACTTGTGGAAACCTCTTCTTGTAGCAGCAGGTTTTCTTAAGTAGAAAATGCAATGTGTACTACTGTCTAAAACAAAAAACATCAAGAGGATTCCAGAGCAGCTATACTAGCAGAAGTTACTTTTCCTTTAAGCACCACCACCACCTGATTGACTAGACTATAAACTGAATCTAGATGTATCCACACTCAATTAAGGAAAGCCAATTTACTTACACTGAAGTTTCCCAAAATGGACTCAAGTTTTGTTACATGTAAATTGTATACTTCTAAGATTGTTTCTGCATTAACCAAATCCCTGAATCAAATTCCACCTTCAAGTTTGAGCCAGTACAAACAGAGAAAATGTCCAATTCTATGCCATTCAAATTCCACAGCTTTATTTGGAAGGATAAATTGATCTGCCAATAGCCTCCTGCTGCCACGATTGGACTATTTATAGGATCCAGATCATCTTGAGTGTCTCAGCATTACACCTCTATCTAGCATAAACTTCTTTTAAATCGCATTCCTTCACTAGTTGTCTCCAAAAGTGATGAAGTAGTCTGCAATGGTTGCCTGTCTCTATTTTGAATTCTCTAGTTGAAGAGCTGCCTGTAATTAAGATTAAAGAGTAAACAGTTTTATTCACATGGCACATTTAATTATAGATATTGATAATTATAGTCTACATTTACCATAATCTATTAAAATAATTTATATTATAAATATTTAAGCAAATACACTAATGATATTTGAAATAAAATTAATCTACTGAACTGAAGTAACAGGCTGAGCACTCA